AACCCTTTGGGTATTGCTCCAAGGGCTTCTATTACTATTGGTACAACCTTTGATTTCTTCCTCCACAATCACTCAACTTTAGTTTGCAGATCACGGTATTTTGTTATTTTTTTCTAGTGGTTTCTCTTCCATTCGTACATCACCTGGTATTGCGGTATCAATGAACCAGACCACCACCTCCTCCTCCTCCTCCTCCTCCTCCTCCCCCTCCTCCCATTTATTTATTTATTTATTTATTTATTTATTATGTTTAGATTTTCTTTTAGTGTAACAGAAACACTTAAACAGAGTTGAATATTGTTCAGTTGCTCTATCTCATTCATTTATGGATCGCTAATTATCACTAGCAGTGATAATTTGGTTTGGAAGGTCACAAATAGCTGTCACATTGCCCCGGGACATTGCCAACATTGTAAATATATGCCTGTTGCCAAGCGCCCAGATTTGTTCGTGTGAACAGTGCTATAGTTGTAAATTCAAGGACTGGTCATAAGTCACTTTTTTCAGTGCTGTTCAGTCACTAAATGAACGGTTGTAAATCAAGAGCTATTTGCAGGGGTGGGATTCAGCCGGTTCGCACCGGTTCAGTAGAACTGGTAGCTAATTTTTTGTTGATTTCGGTGAACCGGCTGATGCCCTTTTTCGCAAAGCCCAGAACAGCCCACCCAAAGTGTGTGGACGCCATTTCCGGAAGTCTGTTCTGAGCTGGGAGGCCTCCCAGGCCCAGAACGGCCCACCTGAAGTGCGTGGATGCCACTTCCAGAAGTCCGTTCTAAGTGGCCTCCACGTACTTTGGGTGGGTTGTTCTGGGCTTGGGAGGCCTCCCCCGGTTCAGAACGGACTTCCGGAAGTGGCATCCATGCAGAGAACCGGTTGTTCAGGTATATGAATCCCACCTCTGACTAGCTGTATACGGAAAAACCCTCCTGCTTCACAACTTCAGTTAAACCTGAAAGAAGTATTTGTGCCAAGCTAGCTTCCCGAATAGCTAAATGTCTATGGAGATTCTCAGTCTGTGGAGATTCCTGAGTAGCTGCTTATAAGATCTTAGGCTCAACCCCTTCATTCTTTGGGGGGCACTTTGTGAAAATATCCCTGGTCGTGATAAAAATATATCAGATAAGATATATACAGGAAAATACAAAATAAATTATACATGCAAGCATAGATAGATGGATGGATGGATGGATGGATGGATGGATGGATGGATGGATGGATGGATGGATGGATGGATGGATAGATAGATAGATAGATAGATAGATAGATAGATAGATAGATAGATGGATAGAGATAGATAGACAGACAGACAGACAGACAGACAGACAGACAGACAGACAGACAGATAGATAGATAGATAGATAGATAGATAAATGGATAGAGATAGATAGACAGACAGATAGATGGATGGATGGATGGATGGATGGATGGATGG